TGTTTAGGAAAACAGTTTCTTAAAATACCAAGAACAAAGGTGGGTAATATTAAGCTGGATCATAGAAATATAAATAGATAGTGAGAATGTAATTTGGTTGATGTGAAGATGGTGTCCAGTCACAGATATTTGTGTCAACAATGTTGGACTTTTGCTTACTTTACCAGAGAGATAGTTAGTTAGTTAGTCATCCCCCTTATATCCAGCATGGTGTATCTCATATTTTAGAATAAATATGTGGCAGTCTAGTTGACCACTTTGTGTGTGCTTTTGTGACGGTGAGTGTAGGTTTTGAAAAAAGGGTAGTTTTCTGTCATTATAAAACCAAGTCACGAAACTAAAATCAGATGTCATTGTTACTGCTTGTTATATTAGAATATTAGTAACTTTGTACTATTCAGTATGAAAAAAATATGCTAGAAGAAGAAGATTAGTCACTTTGTAACTAGTTTTGTTGTTACAGGAAGAATCATTCGATAATGTTATAACCAAGAAGGAGTTAAAAGAGGAAGAAACAGATGATGTCAGGTAAATGTTATATTTGTTGTGATTTAAGTTATTGGGAAATTTAATACAATTCATTTGGAGGAAAATGTTGAGAATGTGTAATGAGTACCCTCGCCATGCCTTGCTTAAAACCTATACATAAATACTGATAACATATGAAAATTAAGTCACCACATTGGCTTTTCATTATGAATGACATAACAGGTTGTAACCTGTAAACCCCCGCCCCCCGACTCGGAAACCAGTCTGGTGGTAGTGGTGAAGGGAAGAATTCTGCCTCTGTTGGGAAGTGAATTCTGTTTGTCTGGCACTTAGTCACTTTACTAACTGATTTATTATCCTGTCTCATTAGATCTTATATTATCTAATATTTATAACACTGTTTAATAACGCGTTGGTTCAATCAAAATCCACCACTTGGTTCTTTATGACAGACTGTGGTGTATTAAGTTGTATTCTAAAACTAAGTGTAAGATATTAATTACTGAATACAGTGCATTAATATTGTTGATCTTTCAACATGTCCTCTCCTTTCTCAATACATTGTTTGCCAGATGCATAATAAACTTCAGAAACATTTTGGGAATTCTTTCATACTGTATTTTCCTCGGTGGTTTTCATGCTGTTTTCCTCAGTGGTAAATTTGTGTCCTGAGCACATTTCTTGATCATTGTTGGATCTGTTGAAGTGGATCCTTCACCTTTCGGAATAGTTAGCTTAAGAATCTGTGAAGCTGAGGGCTGGACATTAAATATATCTTATACACGTTGCATTATGATGAAAATGTGCATTACTCTCTGTCACAGCATAGAGCAACTGGCCAGGCATGAAGATGGCGATAACACTGATAGCAGAACAAAACAACTTAAGCAGTCGTCTCACAGACATCAGGAGCATGTTGGGAAAGAGCGATCCCTTGTCACTCCCACAGAAACAATATCCTGTGGCACGCATAAAATAAATCGTCTCGAAATTACTGACTTGTTTTCAAGAAAAGGACATGGTGAAAATGCCAAGCATGCTGTCAAGGGCATTTTAATTTACAGATGTGGGTTTTGTAACAGAGTATTCTCACTTATTCAGAATCTGGAGACACACATGCTTACCCATGGAGGGGATAAACCATATAAATGTGGAATATGCGATAAAGGTTTCTCACAAAGTACATATCTTACGATGCATATGCGCCGTCACACAGGACAGAAGCCCTTTAAATGTGAAGAGTGTAATAAATGCTTTTCGGTAAAACATAATCTTGCAGCACACCAACTTATACATTCTGGAAAGAAACTATACGCATGTGATATCTGCGAAAAGTCTTTTTTGAGAAGGCATCTTCTTAATTTACATAAGCGCACCCACACTGGGGAGAAACCTTACAAATGTAAAATCTGTAACAGAGGATTTGCAAGAAACTGTGGTCTCCAATATCATATGCGTATACATTCGGAAAAGAAAGAGAATTAGTCAAAGTGAAAGACTGGTCAGAACAGTTAAGCTTGAATCTGTTATGTGGATCTGTATCAGAATTGTTGATACTGAGACATTCTCATGAATCAGTAACAATCAGATGTTTTCACTGGTAATTTACACACCTTTTTTCAGGAAGTACCTGGTTTGAACTCTGTCTGGAGTAGTAACTATCTTTGCAGTTTTCTTTAGTCCCTGGCCTAACGTTCTGGTAGAACCCTTAAGTGGCCTCAATACTATAATTTTCCCATTATTTATATAATTTAGAACAAAAGAATAATATTGAAGATGACCTGTGGGATGTGCTACATAGTATGGTAGAAGTTTAATGGTGTTTCAGATGTGTTTGCTGCCTCCGTTATCAGGTTAATCACTCTGAATGGTTCAGCAACGAAGAAGACGGCCATCTTCTTACTCACTGCTGTAAGAACCTGAAATCTCATTATTCTATGAGCACATTACCACATTTAGCTTTACTCTGCTATACTTCAAACTCATTTTAGTTCTGTAGAACTGCCCTTAGTATCTTCTATGATGGATAGTTTGCATATGAATCACGTCTTATATATTTAGAATACTTAGTAATTGTGTATAATTGCTTATAAGATTTTAGAAAAAAAAAGCTCACACACTTGTTTTATATTATTTAATCTCTAATTGCTTATAAGATTTTAGAAAAAAAGCTCACACACTGTTTTATATTATTTAATCTTGGTTATTGCCACTGTTATTCACAACAATGTTTTTGTTATGACAAGTTATTTCCAGTTAACTTGACTTCCCTTCAGTGTGCTAATTGTTGTTTCACTCTCTTACGTTGTGTAGTCTAGTGACGTGTGCTGTGATTTTATTGTTGCTTAAAATTGTCCTTGTGAAAGAAACAAATGAGGGCCAGGATAGCTCAGTCAATATAATGTCTAACTGCAGACTAGATGATCAGGGTTTGATCCCTGAAAGGGCCAAAGGATTCTTATTGTGTCTTCTGTGTTCAGACCATAAAGCCCCCTGTCCAATGGATACAAGGGGTTCTTTCTTTGGTGATGAAATGAAACGTACCAAGGTCAAGAAGTAGTAGGAACTACACCCCCCCTCCCCCCCCAGATATTTTCGTAGCATGTAGCGGAACAGATTTACTTTATTTTAAAATTAAAGATTGTAGTCTTTTGGGTTATGGTACTATGTAATCTCATAGGTGGATACCAGTGTTTTGGAGAAACCTGTCACAACCATCTTATTCCTTTAAATATAAATCTACACAATGTAAAAAAAAAATGTTTTGAATAAATATTGCACTTCTTAATGACATTTATTTTTTGTCATTTAATCTTTTTCGTTCTACAAAAAGCTGGTTTGAGAAAGTTATATACAGATTAATACCATTTCCATAACGGAGCACTATCATTCCTCTGAAGCTAATACACATTCAGTCACTCAAGAAATTTCTCATCCTTAATGGAACCCCAAGGTTTATTACCATATACCATGTTGATAAGATACCATTCCTGAGACCTCTTCTGAGCCAGATTAATCTAATCCACACCTTTCAACCCTCTCACTAAGATCCATAACCCAGCCTCCATACTAAATTTAATAGAAATCTGATTCGTTTCTTACAAAATTAAACATGCAGATGGACCTGCATGATCTTGATTGCTTTCGATAAACTGCGTTTCACACGTAGTTTAATTTATTAGTCGGGTATTGGGTTTAAATATTTGTTATTGCAACTGCCTAGAATCTGAATTTGATCGAACATTGACATTTACCCCACTATGGATGTAATTGATGCTTACATTACCGTAACATGTCACCAAAGCATTGTTCTGGATGTATCTCTTCCACTGCCTGCCTACTAACTTCCAATGTCTGAAGTGTTAACAGGGAGAAAGTTTAACACCACAAAGGCAATTTAATTGTAACCTACTTATTTTCATTGACACCTATCACTTTGCACTCAATTGAATAATTTTAGGTGTCTTGATTTTCCATGTGTTCGGTTACTAAGATATTTCCTTCTAAAAAATTTTTTATGCATTATTTGTTTCCGTGTGTAAAATTACAGCCATTCATAACTTCATAGCACTAGGATTTTTAAGGAGTTTTTCTTCCAAAATTTGTATTCATTTCTTGTGGTCCCAGTCGAGGTAAGTACCTAGTTTGCCGTCATCCCACTGAGTCACCTACCCTCACAGTACTTGTAAGATTTTGATGATATAAAGATGCAAAGAAACTTTTAAAAATATGACAAATTTCAGATATTCGGGAACAACAATAACAAACCAATTAATTTATAGGAAGATCAAAAGCGCTCACGTCACGGTCCCTGTCGAACCTAACCTATATTGGTGGGTCGCGAATCTTGCTAAACATCTTTGCACACCATAGAAATGTTATGAGAAGGGAATTAGACTGTGAGAATGCTTGTTACCATTGACTGCAGAATAACTCGTCTTCTCTCCTGCTGCATAAAACATAAAGATGGAACTCTAATTTTCCAGCTGTTTTACATGGATTTGAAACTTGGTCTTTCACTTAACATGCGTCATAATTTGCAGTGGCAGCTGATAACAGGCACGTCTTGTGGCCCGCAGGTTGTGCGAGAAACCAGTGTTGTTCTGGCGGTGGTCCAGCGAGGATCGTCTAGCGGATTCGTGCGTGCTTTTAAAGCTTTCAGTCTGTGTAGTGGTAAAAGGAAAACATTAAAAACGGGGTTGAAGACTCTGTTGCAGCAAACTACTAAAAGGTAGTCGTGTGCTTTCAGTTTTTATGCAGAATTTATTTATTATATTTTATTGTAATGTTCATTTTCGTTACACTTTTATCTGTGGTAAATTAAATGTTTTTTTGGGGGGACGAGCATAAGCGTATTATTTATATACTTGAAAATAAAATAGAAATATTTTTCCCCGCTATATTGAATAAAGACTACCAATTGCCGTATGTATTTGGAACAGTGAAATTTATTTTTCAACGTCTACGTTTCGAGGATAAGGAACGTGCGAAACAAAAACCAAGGATAACCTATCGGACGGTGACATTTGTTTTGAAACTTAACTGAAATTCAGCAAGATTTTATCTTAAATGCTAACAGTTCCTTTATTCAGCTATAGATTTAAAATAGACTGAGATGTGTCGCACATTAAGAACATAAATCTCAAGGAAAGACATTGCTAAAGAAAACAGGTTTTGAGTATGTTACCAGTTTAAACTCGCCCGTGATAGCTCTTGCAGGAAAATTCTGTAGCATAATGTTGACCTTCACTGTGGGAAGCGTACCAGGAACCAGTGTGTAGTCATAACTAACTAACTAACTAGATGTCTTACCGAAGCCGAAGGTTCATCACCGAATTAACCAAAGCTCTGTCCTGGGCCAACAAAATCCAGTCTCCTTCGACTCCTATCTCCCATAGATCTCGCCAGAGATTATCCTCCCATCTACGTCTAGGTCTCTCCAGCGGTCTCTTCCCCTCAGGCTTCCCAAATAGTGGACCCAACCAACCAGATGTCTTACCGAAGCCGAAGGTTCATCACCGAATTAACCAAAGCTCTGTCCTGGGCCAACAAAATCCAGTCTCCTTCGACTCCTATCTCCCATAGATCTCGCCAGAGATTATCCTCCCATCTACGTCTAGGTCTCTCCAGCGGTCTCTTCCCCTCAGGCTTCCCAAATAGTGGACCCAACCAACCAGATGTCTTACCGAAGCCGAAGGTTCATCACCGAATTAACCAAAGCTCTGTCCTGGGCCAACAAAATCCAGTCTCCTTCGACTCCTATCTCCCATAGATCTCGCCAGAGATTATCCTCCCATCTACGTCTAGGTCTCTCCAGCGGTCTCTTCCCCTCAGGCTTCCCAAATAGTGGACCCAACCAACCAGATGTCTTACCGAAGCCGAAGGTTCATCACCGAATTAACCAAAGCTCTGTCCTGGGCCAACAAAATCCAGTCTCCTTCGACTCCTATCTCCCATAGATCTCGCCAGAGATTATCCTCCCATCTACGTCTAGGTCTCTCCAGCGGTCTCTTCCCCTCAGGCTTCCCAAATAGTGGACCCAACCAACCAGATGTCTTACCGAAGCCGAAGGTTCATCACCGAATTAACCAAAGCTCTGTCCTGGGCCAACAAAATCCAGTCTCCTTCGACTCCTATCTCCCATAGATCTCGCCAGAGATTATCCTCCCATCTACGTCTAGGTCTCTCCAGCGGTCTCTTCCCCTCAGGCTTCCCAAATAGTGGACCCAACCAACCAGATGTCTTACCGAAGCCGAAGGTTCATCACCGAATTAACCAAAGCTCTGTCCTGGGCCAACAAAATCCAGTCTCCTTCGACTCCTATCTCCCATAGATCTCGCCAGAGATTATCCTCCCATCTACGTCTAGGTCTCTCCAGCGGTCTCTTCCCCTCAGGCTTCCCAAATAGTGGACCCAACCAACCAGATGTCTTACCGAAGCCGAAGGTTCATCACCGAATTAACCAAAGCTCTGTCCTGGGCCAACAAAATCCAGTCTCCTTCGACTCCTATCTCCCATAGATCTCGCCAGAGATTATCCTCCCATCTACGTCTACGTCTCTCCAGAGGTCTCTTCCCCTCGGGCTTCCCAACCAATACCCGATGCACGCCTCTTGTCCCATCCATCCTGACAGTTTTCTTTTGTTTTCCCCAGTCGCTTACCGGAATAGTACCTTTAAATTCGTCAAGAAAGCTTCCTCGTCGGTCTTTACTAGGTGGCCTTCGATGGCGATGATCCCGTGTCAGGCATTAACCGCTTAAGTCGATCAGAATCGTTAGTCTACCATTCATCGAATAATATGCATTTGTTGTATGAACAGAGGAATTCGTGCTGTGCGAAGACATATTGTCGCAGGGAAGTCAAAATATTTTTGAGATTCGTGTGTGAGAAAAGTCTCCTGACTTTTGGGCTGTTTTAAAATGCATAGAACTTTTCAACAGTGTTAATAGGTTCTTCAGAAACTTTTAAAACAGAGTGATATTTTAAAAGGCTGTGTGTGTGTTAATCTTTATTTCCAAGTTATTTTAATTTATAATATTGTCCCAAGAGATTTGTATTTTCTTATGTTTTCAAACCATTCGTAGTTAATACTGATCCAGATTTTGGCCGCAAAATATTGTATATTTATTCTGAGACAAAATTTTCTTGCTGTTTTTTTTTTATAAATCGCTTTGCTGTTTGTTGTAATGAAGTTAGAATATACTAAATTAACTCTGTCAGTAAATAGAAGATACGTCACATTCGTTCATGGTAACACGTTTTACATCAAAAATAACATGTCTAATCATATACGAGGTGCGATCGGAAAGTTTCAAGACTGCGCGTATAAAAACCCGTACACTTATCTCAGGTATTAAATTCATCCATCACCCTCGAAGTAGTTCCCCTGGGAGTGAACACAACGATCCCAGCCCCGCTGCCAAGCCTGGAAGCATCCCTGGAAATCTTTCTTTGTCAGCCTGTCAAGCACCATCTGCGATTCTGCCTGAATCTCTTCTATCGTCTCAAATCTCCTTCCCTTTAGCTGAATTGTCATCTTTGGGAAGATGAAACCTTAGAAAGGAAGTTGGGGTCGGTTCTTGCAAGATCTTTAAACTCCTGACAAACGAGAAGTCGATTCTGCTTCTGGTCCTCAGACAGGATGCGTCGCATGTGGAGTTCATCCTATTTAGCTCTGTGTGACTTCTTCCTCTTCCCAAAGATGAAAATTCAGCTAAAGGGAATGAGATTTGAGACGATAGAAGAGATTCAGGCAGAATCGCAGATGGTGCTTGACAGGCTGGCAAAGAAAGATTTCCAGGGATGCTTCCAGGCTTGGCAGCGGCGCTGGGATCGTTGTGTTCACTCCCAGGGGAACTACTTCGAGGGTGATGGATGAATTTAATACCTGAGATAAGTGTACGGGTTTTTATACGCACAGTCTTGAGACTTTCCGATCGCACCTCGTACATTATGTATAGAATTGGCGTGAAATTCTTGTGCCATTTGTGATATGAATTGTTTTGATTCAAGATTCTGTTCGTGCTGTTTTTGCAACAACAACAACAACAACAGTGCCCGAAGAATGGCGAAACGTATCATAAACTAGGCCTAGAATCCGTGTTTGTCTAATGACCTCAGCTCATATTGCGTCGAATGTCAGGATGTTAGTTAATAATTAGTTTTAAAAACCCGTGAAATGAAACGTCCGTGGCTTAGTTGAAGGTACTATCTCGGTATTTGCTTGTAGGGACTGAGAAAATCCACGAAAGGTATTAGTTAGAATAGGCGATCCCCGGGCCAAGATTTGAACCCAAGACCTACTGAATATGAAACAAGCGTAGCGATGTTTAAAAATGCGGTTACTGAGTGACAAAGTTGATGTTGTTATGACTGGAAAAAGTTTTATCAGGTATCTGAAATGAGCTTAAAAAGCATTTATGACCTTATATGAAGTATCCTGGGGTACCGGGTTCGATTCCCGGCGGTGCCCGAATTTATAACTTGTGTTGGGCAAGGCCGTGGTCTAGGCACCACGGAGTTTTCCTCCGTGGCATCCCAACAATTACTCCATTCACACACAGAAGAAGGCAATGGCAAACCACTTCTGGATCATCTGCCAAGAACGTATATGAACAGGTCCCAGTCCGAGAAAAGGATGGAAGGATCCTGTTCATATGGACCTGTCGTCAGACAGAACACTAAATAATAATAATAATAAATGAAGTAATCGTTAGAATTTTCCGATTTGAATGTAAATTGATCGTGATTGATGATTTTTTCGTAAAAATTCTCCAAAAATTAAGTCCTTTTGAAATGGGTTATCCGTTTTTAGAGTTGATTCGTGGTAGTGGAAGATGATCACCCTCTACGTCACGTGAGCTATATACGCACGTGTCTTCATTTCCCGCCGTGGTTACGAAAGACAGACCAATTTCCTCCTTCGTACTGAGAAGTGTGTAAATTTGACGAAGATTAATTCACTTTGCGGTCGTATTTTGCGTCATGTCTATTCGAGTATTTGACTTACCAAAGCATAATTCGATCTGCAAGATTTTAAACTTTCAAGGCGAATAAACGTCTACTCAATGCTGATTTCGAAACCAACTTTTTGGAGACCCGAGTCTCCAAAACTTCATATTCTGACCTGTTTTATATTGATGTGAAATTTGGTCTGTAATATATAAAATGAATGCTGAGAATATCTTGAGGTGGGCGAGCGAATTAGAAATCTCTAATGAATGTTTCATAATGAGAAGACAGGTGTAATAAATAGTATACATGAAAGGAAATTAGAAACACCTGACAAATGTTCTTTTGGTAAACAGGAATTGATAATTTGATATACGTAGCCATGGATCGGACGATGGTGTTAAAATTGATCTAATATAAAAATGAGTGTGAGGATGTCTTCCGAAGGCAGGTGTTTATATGCACTGTGATAAACCGAATAATTCTACAAAAACAGTGTGCTTACAGACCTTGAAATTAATAATTGATAAATACAATTATCCTGTGTTATTGTTTTCATGTGTTAGCGGTATTGGCACACAGATGCAACCTCGGGCTCTGTCCCTTACATGTGCCACAGTTGTGGTTAATAAACAAAATTGTGTGTTCATAAACTGAAACAACGTCAGTGGCATTTACTATGTGCATCTCTCCTTTTACGAAAGGTATATAATCCTTGAAAGCCGTTTGCAAATAAACATTAATTATTGGTTCATATTTCGGTGTAATGCGATAACTTATGTACATACATAACATACATTTTCGTAAGATAGTGTAATTGCGTCTTATTGTGAATATTATAACAATTATTTATTTTAATCCGTCTGATCACAATATAATTGTTATTTAAAATTTCTTATAATTAAGATAATAAAATATCATTCATGTTCCATATCGATTGATCGATTTACATAATAAAATATCATTCATGTTCAATATCGATTGATCGATTTACATAATAAAATATCATTCATGTTCAATATCGATTGATCGATTTACATGTAAATCGATCAATCGATTACATATTTAATATTACATAAATATTTTATTATCTTAATTATAAGAAATTTTAAATAAAAATTATATTGTGATCAGACGGATTAAAATAAATAATTGTTATACATATTCGTATATCAAATCTAAAACTTCTTGACGATGGTGAAGAGTCAATTGAATAAAAATTTCCTTGGGTATTATCCATCGTCTAGTAAATATAAAACGTAAAAAACGACGTTTCGGAGATGGAACTCTATCTCCGTCTTCAGGTTCCTACACAGTTGGGCCCACTAGATAAAGAGTCCCATCTCCGAAACGTCGTTTTACGTTTTATATTTACTAGACTATGGATAATATCCAAGGAAATTTTTATTCAATACATATTCGTGTTTATGTATTTAATTTTTCCCTGAACGGTAATTGCTAATTGTATCAAACATGCAGCTTAGTTTCATGATAATTATTTAAACATTGTTAGAGAAACGACCAATTAAATTTTCTTCGTTTTTGTAAATTAGGCCTCCTGGTCTGTTCCAATTTAATATTAACTTGTGAAACTATGAATCTTTTAGACATTGGACTCCACGGACGGGGGGATTTGTCCATCGCATGACGTCCTCTGTCTGCACAGGACAACTCAGCACACAAAGACGTAGATTATGATACGAGTGGGTTGGACATCAGGATTTCAATCTTGGAGCGATCTAAGATTGCGAGTCTTAAACAGTAATGGTCGATTCCGTTGTATATAATACAGAGAGCACAAAATCAAATTTCAGATTTAGAAGCTAACCTATGAAATGTTTATTTTGAGAATCGCTTTAAATCATGAAGGTAATCAGCGCGACACAATGTCTATTGTTTGATCTTATCGAAGATTCTTTAGTCTTGCAGACGCACTTAAGTTAATATCATAAGACGATAAAAAATTCAATAGATAAAATTCTTGTGATTCCCGGTCCTACTTCGACGCGACGCGACGCAACAGAACAGAACTGGATCTAATTCAGGATCCTGGCTTCCAAATGATTTTTCCAGCCACAGGCTGATACTCCAAAATACAGTCAAAATATATCAAAATTTTTAAGCGTAATATAATGATGCTTTATATTCACCGCTAAATATTTTGGGTGTTGCACTGTGTCCAAAATCGTTTCGGAGGATGTAATGATTCCTTCTTCAGGAACTGTATTTCCATCTTTTTGCACAGTTCAACAACAGTTATCAGTTTTCTCATGTATTCGGAAATAAATTGGAAGAAACATGAAAATGATTGCATTAGTGAAGTTCGGCACAAGAAACTTTGTGACAAGGGGGCTCAGTCCTGTGTCATGTGCCAGTGACTAAATGAGACGTTTTTGTTTATAGATTAAAATGGGCAAGACGAACGTGCCAGTGGAAAGATACGAAAGGGACAGTCACACAGAGATGACGCATGTGGATCCCACGTCGTCGTTAAGGTAGGTCTGTGGCTGAAATTTGTTTTTTTACAATCCGAAAAATAAATATTTTATTGATTTTGGGCTGAGATTTAACCTTGCTTTTTACGTATCTTTTTACGAAAATGAAACTAATTAACGTTTCCAGGTTCTTCTTAATCTACAGTCTAAACCTGATCCTCATTTAACCTCTCACAGGATTGTCAACGGAGAATATTGTTCAGTTATGTGCTTATTTTGATTCTATTGGTCTAGCGGTTAGAACGCTGGCCTTGTAATCCTGGGGTCTCGGGTTCGA